AATACCTGGGGAAGTTACGAGTGCAGCTGTAGCGGTGGTTCGTTGTACATGCGAGAGCATGACATGTGTATCAGTGAGTATCTTTGAGGCATACTGTGATCTGGAGATTGGCAACATATCAACATGATTTCGATTTCATTCAGGATCGTAACGCCAACTAACGTGATATTCATTTTCAGGTAAGAATGGTAGAACAGAGGTAGGCTGGGGGTCCGTGTGGGTAATAATTCTCGGATTGGTTGCTGCCGGAGGTGCAGGATACGCCATTTACAAGTACAGAATCCGGGTAAGATTGTCATTGTACTAATGTCGATATTTGGAGTGTCAACAAAATGGGTGGAACTCAACTGACATATCATTTGGTGTTGAACTTGATGCAGAGATACATGGATTCGGAGATTAGGGCTATTATGGCACAATACATGCCATTGGATAATCATCCTAATGACGTTCATCATGCAGACATATAAGACCAGCCCATGGAACATGCTTCCAAAACCCTTAGGTTTAATATGTACTCGACTCTTTTAGTTTTTGACTTTGTAATTCTAAATAATTTAAGGTTACGTGCATGACAAATTTTCATTATGCATGGCCATACATCTTTTATGATGTGCGTGATCCTGTTTTTATCACTCTGCATCATCTTCCATATCAACGTAGGCTTCTCAGATGACTTAAAACAACATGATTCTATGGCCATGCAATAACGAGAGACAACAAACTTTTGCAAAGGTGATACTTGGTAATTACGTGTTAATGGCTAAATTCAAACATCTTTACCACTAATATTTGATCAAATAATCATTTTAATTTTTATTTTTGCATTTTAACCAGTAATGTTTTGTTTTGAGGTAAAATATTATAGGGGTAAATAAAAATCGTTTATCGATTATCAGTCAACGTTTGTGTGGAAATAACAAATTTTATTTATTAAAATTGATGATGTGTTATATGTTATGTTATATATATAAGTGATGGTGTGATATACGTTACTTGTATATAAGTGATCATAAGATATATGTAACATCATCATTTTGGATATATTCGAAGTGAATTCTAATATTATATCATTAGATTTTTTAGGTGTTAATCAATTTTAAAATAATAATATTATATTATCATTTTAGACAAATTCGAAGTAATTTTAATATTATATCATTAATTTTTTTAGGTGTTATTCTATTTTAAAATGACAGTTGATAATGTCACGCTGCGTATGATTGTAGCTAGACTGAAATGTTACCTCTACAGTCTACACACACGTGTACTTAACTTGCTTTTAAGATACACAAATGAACATTATGAACTTGTGGCTGAAATTATATTTAGCACGTCAAATATGTCAACATCAAAGCTTATCTCTAATAAGAATATATGGCATACAATAAATTATTTCAGTGATTAAAATAATAATAATTATTTTAAAAATTATAAATTTAAATATCAAAGATTACAAGAATTATTGTTTATATATATATATATATATAATTCAATGAAAAAATATCGGTCAAACTGAAATCTTCTATTATAAAACTTCATTTAGATAAAAGAAAATTAATTACTTGTTTAAAAATAATTGAAGTGCTTTTTTAACTCTTAAGCTACCATATAATTAAATAAAGATATAAAGAGAAAACAATAAAAATACAAAAAAGAGAGTACAGGATACTCAATTTTATTTGTTCTATCAGCATCTATAATAGATTTCATAAGGTACAATCCTAGACAGTAGACAGGTAATTTCGTGGATATAAGTTTACTGAGTATCGAGTGGGTATGGATGTAAAAAATCATACTCATTGAAGATAGTAGATAGGTGATGGGTTTGAGACCTTACCTATCTCTCATCCTCCTATCCCACATCTGTTCACCCACTAGCTACCTACCATAAAAATTTTAGACCATTGAGAATTTAAGTATAATTTTAGAGACTATTCTGTAAATCTTAAGATTTATAGGACATGACTTGTAATTTAACCAAATGTTAAAGTATAAACATTTTTAGAATTGAAGACCGTCGCTTAGATAATCTGTGAGGTTGTTGTCAGGCGGGTATGGACGAATACAGGTGTGTACGAGATTGGTGGTGAGTAACCAATTAAGTAGTGGATGTGTGAGTGGATTTGAAAATATACTCGCATGGGCGGGTGTCGATTTAAATCCATCGTAGGTGGTATATAGATGATGGATACAAATATATTAGGTAGATATAGAGATAGGAGAAGAAGTATCCACACCCGCCCTACCCGATTACCATCTCTTGTACATATTTTATTTTTTCTCATTTTTTTTCTTTTTAGGTTATTCCTTTGAGAGTTATTGACAACCATAACATATGGTTTATGGAATAACAAATATAATAATCCATTTTTACTATTAGTTTCATTTTTTACCATTAGTTAATTGTAATATATATATATATATATTATGATAATGATATTAATCAAATAAAAAATTATAATTTGTGCTATGGTGGGTTGTATTTTATTACCAAAGAGGGGACCAATGTCGCATTAAAATTTCGTCCAGTAGATGCAGTCAACATTTATTTATCTTTTAAATTTGCATGGTGGATATCTTTTAAATTTTTTTTTATCATAAATTGGATGTTGCATGGTGGCTACCACAACATTTTTATACAAACAAATTGCATTATGTTAAGAGAAGAACTGAGAGAATGGCACGTATTAGGGAGAGAGACATCTATTCTTTTTGGCTATCAAACTCAAATTATCTCTCCTACGTGACGGACGTAAGATTTTATATATGAATAAACAAACTTTTAGATTTATAAATTATAAAATTTTAGGGGTAAAATACACAAATGGTCCCCAAACTATAAGGTACTATTTTATTAAGTCCATTGACTATTAAAAGTTATAAAATGGTCATCCGTTTATAGAATGTTACTTTGTTAAGTCCCTCGACTATTAAAAAGTTATAAAATCGTCATTCGACTATCTATTATGTTCCAAACTCGTCATTTTTCGTTAAAAAAATGACAATTGTCTAAGCTAGATGTTAACATGATAACTGAGATATGATAGTCGTTTGAGATTCTAGGATAAGATTTTATCTTATCACAGTCAACAGGTTAACATTCAACTCAAAATGTTGTCAATTTTTTTAATGAAAAATAACAAGTTTAGAACATAATGAATAGTCGGGTGACCATTTTATAATTTTTAATAGTTGAGGGACTCACTAAAGTAATGTTCTATAGTCGAGGGACCATTTTGTGTACTTTACCTAAAATTTTAAAATGACAAATATAAATTATTCATAACATTTATACATAAAATATTGAAAAGAAGACACCAGAGGTACATGTACTCTAAAGAAACCAATGTGGCCTTTATATATATATTTTTTATCTTAATGTGTCCTCAAACTTAGAAAATAAGCCCAATGTAATCCTTTGACTAATGTTTTTCGTCGTTGAATGTTACGGTGTTGACGTGACAATTCACAATGTTGATGTGAAGGTCTAGGTGTTGACATTCCAGTCCACGATGATTGACAACGTGGCAGATAACATGATAGATGAACTAAATTGGTAGCTTAAACATGGCAAATTGACTGCCATGTCAGTATCATGGACCGTCATATCAGCACTGTAAACTATCATGTCAACACCATAACGATCAAACAATAAAAAATGTTGATCAAAGGGTCACATTTGGTTTATTTTATGAGTTAGAGGGCCACATTGAGAGAGAGAAAAATAATACAAGGGCCTTATCGGTTCTTTTCAAAAGTACATAGACCTATGATGTCTTTTTACCTAAAATATTTAAAATATAGGCATAATATCAAAATTAACTCCCAACATTTACTAGATGTTCATTTTGTCCCTATTCTTTTTTTGAAGCATTTTTGCCCCCAATGTTTCATTTTAAGGCAAAAAGACCCATAACATTTGACAAAATAATCATTTTGTCCTTTATTTTTATTTTTTTGTATCTTAGCCCTCAACGCTTAATTTTAGGTTAAAAAGGCTCCTATATTTTATAGCGTCAATTGTGTGTTAACTAATTATTTTCATCTATAGAGGGAGCTTTTTATCCCAAAGTGAAACATTAGGACTAAAATATTCCGAGAAAAGAGTAAGAGTCAAAATGACTATTTTAATAAATATTAGGGGATTATTTTTAACATTATAGCTAAGATATATGATAATTTAAACTTTCACAACGAGGATTGTCCCTCCGCTCCACCTTGAGCCAATGGAGGAAGCATAGGCCATTATTTGATGCTTTCATTTCATTCTCATTCCAGAAAGTGGTGAAGTGGGTTCTGAATCAGTTCTATCCGGCTCCACAAATCGTGATTTTACGTAGTATTAAAATATTATGACTCAAATTAATCGAGATTGATTCAAGTGGTAAGTAACTTGATATCGTTTAATCAAGGTCTCGAGTTCGAGTTATTGTGTATGCAGAAAATCCCTGCTGGGAGACTCAACCATCAAAACTGGATGTGCGACACGTATCGATTCAAATTAAAATTATTAATCATAGTTGGTGAGTCTCCCGACGGAAATTTTCTGTATACATAAGAACTCGAACCCGAGACCTACTAAAACGATATCAAATTTATTACTACTTTAACCAACCATTTGGTTACAACAGGTATTATTTACTAACAAACGAACCTTAGATTCATTGTTCCAATGAAAAAGAGATTTAGAGTGAGAAACTTGAGAATCCAAATGGTGGAAAGATTGGCTTTTGTGTATATTAATAAAAGATTGGCTTTATTTTATTATTTTTATTATTCGATGATTATAAAATAGCATGTGTTTTAAATATTTTTAATCATTTTACAATGAATACTTAATTACGTATGTTATAATTATTGGTGTTTAAACCGAATTCTCTAAAAATAATAACCATTCTTTTAATCAATGAGATAATTTGGTTGGTGCCAACTTTAGCTCCAGTATATACATCCCTCCATTCAGAGGCCAACGTGTTATCATACAACTTTCTTCCTACAACAAATGGGTAGTGTCATCTTGTTCGGTACAATATTGGCGCATTTTTGTAGCAAATCACGCTCCAAACTAGCACGCTTCAAACGGTCCTGTTTCCATGTCCTGGTCTTCAAAGCGAACCCCTTTTGGGTTCAGCTTGTTTACTTCATCGTCCTGTCTCTGCTTGGCTTCGGGGCACTGAATATGTCGAAGCCGAGAACCGACTCTTTCAGGCCTAAGAAAATCGACGTGTTATTCACGTCGGTGTCGGCAGTGACGGTCTCGAGCATGTCGACGGTCGAAATGGAGGTTTTCTCCAACATCCAACTCATCATCATGACTGTTTTGATGCTCGTGGGTGGGGAGGTCTTCACTTCCATGTTCGGACTTCAGCTGGCTAGGTCCAGGTTCACGAACCATGAAAGCCCTGATCCCATTGCCCATGAAATGGAGTTGGGTACCATAATTACCTGCGAGAAACCTAGTAGTACGGACTTAGAAAACAACAAAAACTCGTCTTCTACAAAGAGCCTCAAGTATAAAGCTACTAGGTATTTAAGGTATGTGGTATTAGGTTATTTTTTGGTCGTACATGTAGTCGGTTCAAGTCTGGTTTCCATGTACGTGAGCCTGGTCCCAAGCGCGAGGAAAATACTGAAAACAAAAGGCATTGAGATACAAACGTTTTCCTTCTTCACCGTCGTCTCGACTTTCGCGAACTGCGGGTTCGTTCCAACGAACGAGAACATGATCGTGTTCAAGGAGAATTCGGGTCTCCTGCTGCTGCTGATGCAGCTTGTTCTTCTCGGCAACACCCTTTTTCCGGCTTGCCTGCGAGCCACGATATGGGTTTTGGACAAGGTGACCAAAAAGGCGGAGTTCAATTACATGCTGTCGAATTATGAGGAGATGGGTTATGTTCATTTACGTTCGGGCGTTCGTTGTGCTCTTCTTGCGGCCACCGTGTTCGGGTTCATATTGGTTCAGTTCGTTCTGTTCTGCTCGATGGAATGGAACTCGGACGCCTTGGATGGTCTTAGCTCGTACAGGAAGGTCGTGGGATCGTTGTTCGAAGTAGTGAATTCGAGGCACAATGGGGAATCGATCGTCGATCTTTCCACCGTCTCCTCGGCGATCTTGGTGCTCTTCATCGTTATGATGTGAGTCTTTCTTTTCACGCACACGTACACGCATGTTTTCATTTGGTGCATTTTTGGCCTCGAATTTGCCCAATTGACTAGAAAGTACGGTCGCATCTTTTATATGTCAACTCACAACTACCTTCTTCATTTTTACGTGTTCAATCAATTATATTTATACGATATATACATACTTGAGTGGGTACAGCACTACTGAAGTGGGTTTGGAATAAGTTCCATTTCTAACCCTATTTTTTTTTTGTGTCTACCACTGAAATGGACAGTGTCATCCCTTTAAAATTTAAAATTAACTTATATTTTAATTGAAAATATGATTTTGTCCTCCTAAAATTTTATAAATTTAATTTAGTCTTATAAAATTTTATAAAATTTCAAATTTACCCTTTAACATAAAATCGTACATCCGTCCTTAACATTTCTTATTCTCTCTATCTTCAACTGATCATGTCAAGAATATATCTCATGCAACTAATAATTTCAAGAATCCTCATTATTTCTATAGAACACAAACAGACACGTATATAATAGATGATATCAAGGAGAATAATGATCGTAAAATAAAATAAATAAATATATATATAATACACAAGTAATAATTATAGATAATTTTATTTTCTAATCTTAATTCTTGTTATCTATTTGTATATATAGTTACTTGATTGTAAAGAAAACTTATTTAATATAAACCTAATAAAATTAGATTTTTTAATTTCAATCCACTGAAAGTAGATATATTTCTTACTTTCAATTAAAATAGTTTCTCTACTTTTCTCCATTTTCTCTTAATTTATGTTTGGGAAAAGTACATAAATGGTCCTCGATCATAGGATGATGTTTTATTGAGTCCCTTGACTATTAAAAATTAAAAAATGATTCCTGGCTGTAGGGAGTTTCATTGTTGAGTCATTCGACTATTAAAAGTTACACAATAATCACCCGACTATTAATTATATTTTAAACTCGTACTTTTTCTTTAAAATTTTGAAGGTAATTTAAGTTGTACGTAACTTGACTCTGACTGATTTCATTATTACTTTTACAGGTATCTTCCTCCCCGTACTTCCTTTGTACCAACTAAATACCAGAAAAAGGAATCGAAGCAGGCATGCAAAAGTGAAGCAGAAGAAGGGAGGAGCATTTTGGAGAGTGTTATGTTCTCTAACCTCTCGTACTTAACCATCTTCGTCATCCTTATCTGCATCACAGAGAGACATAAACTGAAGGAAGATCCCCTCAACTTCAATGTCCTAAACATCACCCTAGAAGTCATAAGGTATACGTTCACGTCAGTGACAGATCTAAAAATATCTTTTTTATGACAGACACGTACGTTAACAACACGATCGACAAAATGAACAATTAACATAAGAAAACTCGGTTTTGCAGCGCTTACGGGAATGTCGGATTCTCTACGGGGTATAGCTGCAAAAGGAGGGTGGAAGGGGCGATGGGATGCACAGATTCGTGGGCCGGATTCGCGGGGAGGTGGAGCAACAGCGGGAAGTTTGTTCTCATTGTCGTCATGTTTTTTGGAAGGCTTAAGAGTTTCGGTTTGAAGTATGGTAAAGCATGGAAACTCTCCTAAGGGTTAACAAAATCAGCAATAGAATCAAAATAAAAACCTTTTAAAATGTTACTAATAAAAGTAGTATAATTGCGTTTAGTATTTAAAATATTAGTTTTTGTCTGTTTTAGTATTTAAATTTTTAATTTTTTCAGAATCATACCTAACGTTTAATTTTTGTTCATTTTAATGGCTTGCCGATAAAATAGACACTACTTTTTTATGGGTAAATTACATCATTCATCACTCAACTATCTTCTCACTCCTATTTTGGTACTAAAGTTTAAAAAATTTCAATTTAACTACTCAACTTTCAAGTTCCTCCTATTTTAATCACTCTAATTTATTTTATTAATAATTTTTGTGACATGACATTTTTATTATTATTTTATTAATATATAGTTAAAAACAAAAAAAATCAATTTAAAAGCAAGTGATTAAATGAGTAGTTTAAAAGGCGAGTAATTAAATTAAAAAAATTAAACTTTAGGGATAAAATAGGAGTAAGAAGATTGTTGAGTGATGTATAATGTAATTTACCCATAAAAACGGTGCACGTGCAAATCACCCTGTAAGTTTTTAACGACGAGGTACTAAATGAAACAAAAACTAAACATTAGGTATGATTGAAAAAAATAAAAGTTTATATGCTAAAATAGACCAAAATTGATAGTTTAAATACTAACTGCATAGTTTACCCTATATATAATTAGGATCCACTTACACTTATGAAATTTTTAGTTTTAAATTATTTTAGGATCGTTCGATGAGAGAAAATTAGTGATTGAGAATAACTCATTGTTTTTTTTCCTAATGAATATATTATCATTTCTTACTATTAAATTCAACCTTTGATTTTTCAAACCCAACGAGTTTAAATTTTTGGAATGTTGTAGGAGGAACTTCTTTTTTTAAATGGAGGTGTTTGAGAATTATTTTGAGATTTATGTCATTTGTTATAGTACATTGTAAACTTGTCATGAGGAGTGACGAGTTCCATAAAATATATTAAAAAAATCAAACTTGTCATGTGAACTTTTAAAAAATTATATAGAACTCGTCATGTTCTCGTGACCAATGACGAGTTCAAATTATTTATTATATTTTATAGAACTCGTCACCCCTTCGTGGTAAGTTTCTCATGTACTATAACAAATGGCCTAGAAAATTTTTCTAATTTGTTCTAATTTTTCTCATCTCCAATATTTGGCCAATAGAGTCATCCAACGATCCTAAAAAGTGTAAGATTAAAAAATTTTACACTATGTAATTGGATTCTAGCTCATATATATCGTTGCTAAATCTTATGCATTATGCAATGAGTTAATTCCATCATACCTCCAAATTATTATTCTCATTCTAAATTGATTCTTAATCTTTTGAATATTTTAATTTTATCTCCAAACCGTGACCTTCATTTTAAATTAATCCTTAAATTTTTTAATATTTCAAATTTATTCCCAAACTATGATGTTCATTCCAAATTGATCCCTAAACTATTGAATCTTCCAAATTTATCCCCGATTTTACCCTATTATATAATTAGTTTCAAACATAGTTTAATCTAAATTTTACATTTTTAATATAATAATATAACTTGGCCTAAGGGTTTTATTAATAGTGGATGTGATTACCAATAGTTTTGGATGAAATTGAATGTTCAAAATTTTGGGGACCTATTTAGAATGAGGATCATAATTTAAGGACGAATTTGGAACTTTTAAAAGTTTAAAGATAATTTAGAATGAAAGTCATAGTTTACTGATGAATCTAGAATGTTTAAAACTTTAGGAACCAATTTAAAATAAGGATAATATTTTAGGAACATATGAAGCAATTAGCTCTTACTATAAAGGCTTAATAACTTTAAGAGTAAACTTTAGTCCCCTTTGTTTTGGGTATGACGCACTTTGGCTACTAATTTAAAAATTAAGGGTACATAGTCTATAACGTTATCAATCCGTACTTGTTTCTGGTCTCAATGTTCTTTTTGATTTCGAGTAGTTTTTGCCTAAATCTTTCAAATGCAGTTAATGGTTCTTCATCCGAAGTCCACTCAGCCGAATCACGTTGCCCAAGGTATATCTTTGCTGCTTGATTCTGGCATGAACGGACGACTGACTGTCGGCCTGTTAGGGAGGAAACTGGGATAAGGGTATTGGCCGAAATTGACTGCTGCATGGAGAGCTGAAGCCACCCATATGATGGTCGTGCATGTTTGAATCAGATCGTGTATTGTGCTCATATTGGGTCACCATGGTTGGTCTTTCAAGTCATCGTGGCCTTCGTTTCGAATCTCTTCCCACCATGATTGGAGCTCGATGTCCGTTTGCACTGCTTGACCTGTAGAAACAGTAGTACTAAGTGACCCATGTTTTAATGGCTGACCAGATTTCTAACCCATCAACTGCAAAAGGGTAATCCTTCATAGAGAACTCGGCATTTCAGCAATCATACCAATAAGAAATGACCTGATGGTACCCCGAATCGTTCACCACAACATAAGCTTTGGCCAATTGTCAAATGTAAGCTTCAATGGTATTCTCTGCCTTTTCCGGGGTGAAAACCTTGCTGACCGCACTGTGTTTGTCTCCTTGAGAATGCAGCAAGCTCAACTCGATCCCCAATGGCTTTCAAACTGGAAGGAGATGAGTTAGTCGCTTTCCAACCGGAAGAGGAGGAAGAAGAGGAGGAGTAAAAATTTTAACTGCCACGTGAGTTTTTTTTTAAAAAAATAATTGTCACGTCAATTTTTTTTAATTTTAATTATCACGTAATATTTTCGTTAAAAAGTTAATGGGAGATAACAGTTGAGGGATTAAAATTGAACGGATTGATAACGTTAGGAACCATAATCAAACTAATCAATAACGTTAGAGACCATTTACCCTTAATTTTTAAATTGATGACCAAAACCGATCATACAAAAAACAAAGGGACTATTCACATAGTTTACCCTAACTTTAAAGTATACTTCCGTTGCAATTTTTCGCGCCTAAGATTAATGCCGTTAAAAAACTTGCAGCCAATAATTAATTGACACGTTGAATAAACAAAATTTTAATTAGAAAATAAAAATATAATAATACAAGTGCAAGGATTAAGTTTTTAAATTAAAATTTTTAGACATCAAAACGTAAATTAAGGTATAATTTAAACATCTAAAAGTATATTAAACCTAAATATTATAAGTGTTAGCATTTGAAATAATCGTCAAATAAATATGAAATATATGATTTATGTGTTATGAAATAAAACGAACGAATTAATAAAAAAAGAAAAATGAGAATAAAAAAATTATATTATTATTTCATTATAAATTGTGTATAATATCTTTTAAACTCATTATTTATATATAGACCTAAGGAGTATATATTATATAAAATTTTAATTTTATTATACATTAAAGTTTTAATAATAAAATACATCAAAAATATATTTAATATATATTGTTTTGATCATAATATACATTCACGGGACTATTTATTTTATTTTTATAAAAGATATTTTTAATATATCTCATACTTATTTAATAAAACTAACTATTAGTATTGATTTAAAACTATATGTACGTTGAAAACATGCAATAATAATAATTTAATGAATAAATTAAGAAAATGACAAAAACATGAGATCTATGTATTTTTTTTTAAAAATAATGTGACTCATATTATTTTTTCTTAATGTGGCCATCAAACTCAAAAAAATAAGCTTAATATGATCTTTTGACTAACGTTTTTAGTTGTTGACCATTACGGTACTGACGTGATAATTCGCGGTGACGTTGCAGTCCACAATGTTTATATGACAATCCAGTTGATGACGTGACAATAACATGATAGATGTACTAAATTGATAACTTAAACATAGAAGATGGATTGTCACGTCAATACCGTTGACTACCATATTAGCATCCTGAACTATCACGTCAGCATCGTAACGATCAAACAATAAAAAACGTTGATTAAAGAATCACATTGAATTTATTTTCTAAATCAGAAAGTCACAACATTAATAAAAGTTAATACGATAATTACATTGATTTTCTTAGAAGTATAAAAATCTCTTATACTTGTTTACCTTAAAAATACAAATTAAATTTGTGAAAGGTGGACTATGTTGTACCATATTTTTTTTTATTTAAAACATATTTAAAATTTTATATATAATATGACGCGTTTATAATATTGTATAATTTTGACAATTCAAGTCAAAGACGACTATATATATATATATATTTAAGGAAATTACCAACCTCTGAATGACATTCCTCCTCAACCTTATCTATTTCTTGCGCTCCAAGTTTCCTACAAACGAGGACATTATATTAGGTGATTTCCGAAACCCTAATCCTGAAGGTTTTCTCTCGGAGATTTTGAGTTATAGTTGGACTTGTTTTCTCTGATTTACTGCCTATATTTGATTGTTTGTTTCTCAATCTTATTGCTCGTTTCTCTCTTCCCACATCCCCCGCCGCCAAGCAAGCCATCTGTTTCCTTCAAGTTCCCGACGGATCTGAGAATCGGAATCAGGTAATTTTCGGAACCCCTATCTCGAAAATTGATTTCCGCTTCAGTTTTGAGTTATCAGCTCTCTGCTCTGCATTGCTCTGCTTTATTCGAATTGCTGTTTTTCTCTCTGCTTACTTTGTTGAGAAGGATAATTTTGCGAACTAGATTGATAGGGAACCATGTCATTGTCAGGTAATTCGAAATCTGGGCAAGGGGCAGGTAGCGCTTTGAAGTCATGGGTCTGTGATAGGTTATTGTTGCTGGGATTTCCCGAGCCCACGCTTGTTGAGTATGCTATTGGACTGGCCAAGCGAGCGGCATCGCCTGCTGATTTGCTGGGCAAGCTCGAAGACTATGGCTTGCCATCATCTAGTGATGTTCGTTTATTTGCTGAAGAAATCTTTGGTAAAGTTCCTCGTAAAAACATCCTCTGAAAATATTTTATCAGAAAGAAGAAAGGGAAGATGCTATTTTTGCTAGGAAGCAAAGGGCATATGCAATTTTAGATGCTGATGACGATGGAGATTACAGTGGTACCACTTCTGAAAAAGCCGATAAGCCTAAGAAACGTTTCAGAAAGAAGATTGAATGTCAACAAGATGACGATGAGGAGGAGATCATACATGTAGATGAAAAGAGAAGAGTTAAAAGGAGGTCTTCCCAAGATGAGGGTGATGGGTCGGAGTCTGTAGAGGAAAGATTGCGCGACCAAAGTGAGAGGGAGGATTTAGAGAGAAATATAAGACAACATTATGCTGCTGCAACTAAGAAGTTGATGGAGCCAAAGCTTTCTCGAAAGGACGAAGAGGAGGCCTTACGAAGATCTAGAGCCTTGGAGCGAGATGACATTAATAGTTTGAGGAAAGCTTCAAGGCAACAGTATTTGAAAAAGAGGGAGCAAAAGAAACTCGAGGAGCTCAGGGACGGTATAGAAGATGAGAAGTACCTTTTTGAAGGTGTAAAGCTCACCAAAGCAGAATATGGTGAGTTAAGGTACAAGAAGGAAGTATATGAGCTTGTGAAGAAGCGGACAGAAGAGGATGATAATATTGGGGAGTACAAAATGCCAGAAGCTTATGGTCAAGATGGGGTTGTTGACCAGGAGAAGAGACTTTCTGCGGCCCTTCAGTGTTGCAGAGACCCTACTGCTGGGGACAAAATGAATCCATTTACAGAGCAAGAGGCATGGGAAGACCATCAAATTGGCAAGGCCACATTGAGATTTGGCTCAAGAAATAAAAAACAAATGAATGATGACTACCAGTTTGTGTTTGAGGACCAGATTGAGTTTATTAAGACGTCGATGATGGATGACGAGTTTGATAATAAGATATCACTTGACCCACCCGAGAAATCCAAGGCAAAATCTGAATTGGAGAAACTACAAGAGGAACGGAAAGATTTGCCAATTTATCCATATCGAGATGATCTACTTAAAGTTGTTGAGGAAAACCAGGTTGTTGTTATCGTAGGAGACACTGGATCAGGGAAGACCACACAGATACCACAATATCTTAACGAAGCTGGTTACACAAAACGTGGGAAGGTTGGTTGTACACAGCCTCGACGTGTTGCTGCTATGAGTGTTGCTGCTCGAGTTTGTCAAGAAATGGGTGTCAGACTTGGCAGTGAGGTGGGCTATACTATTCGTTTTGAAGATTGCACTTCAAGAAAGACTCTATTGAAATATATGACAGATGGTGCATTGTTGCGAGAATTGCTTGTTGAACCTGATCTTGCTAGCTACAGTGTGATAATGGTGGATGAAGCTCATGAAAGAACTGTTTCAACTGATATTCTTTTCGGATTTGTGAAGGATATTGCACGATCTAGAAAAGATATCAAATTACTTATCTCAAGTGCAACGCTTGATGCGGAGAAGTTCAGTGATTTTTTTGATTCTGCTCCAATTTTCAGAATTCCTGGGAGAATGTACCCTGTTGAGATACACTACACAAAAGCACCACAAGCCGATTACGTGGATGCTGCAATTGTTACTGCACTTCAAATCCATGTGACTCGGCCACCGGGAGATATTTTGGTTTTTCTCACTGGTCAAGAAGAAATTGAGACAACAGAAGAAATTTTGAAGCATAGGGTAAGAGGCTTTGGGACAAAAGTTGCGGACCTTATTATTTGCCCAATATTTGCGAATCTTCCTACTGAGCTTCAATCCAAAATATTTAAACCCACTCCTGCTGGTGCACGCAAGATAGTCCTAGCAACAAATATTGCTGAAGCATCATTAACCATCGATGGCATTAAGTATGTCATTGATCCAGGTTTCTGCAAGATGAAATCTTATAATCCGAGGACTGGGATGGAGTCTTTGATAGTAACTCCTATCTCTAAAGCTTCAGCTAAGCAACGTGCAGGTCGGTCTGGGCGAACAAGTCCAGGTAAGTGTTTTCGATTGTACACTGAATTCAATTATACAAATCTTGATGACAATACCATGCCGGAGATACTATGGACTAACCTTGCCAGTGTTGTTCTCTCTTTGAAGAGTCTTGGAGTTCATGATTTGCATAATTTTGATTTTATGGATTCACCAACAGTTCAGGCTCTAATAAAAGCAGCTGACCTTCTGTCTGCATTGCATGCATTAAATAAAGTTGCAGAGCTGACTTTAGTTGGTAGACGAATGGCAGAGTTCCCTCTTGATCCAATGCTATCCAAAATGATAGTTGCTTCCGATAAGTATAAGTGTTCAGATGATGTTGTTTCCATTGCTGCTATGCTCTCTGTAGGCAATTCTATCTTTTACCGTCCAAAGGACAAGCAAGTTCATGCTGATAATGCAAGGAAGAATTTTCATACTGGCAATGTGGGTGATCTTATTGCTTTAATGAATTTTTACAATGCATGGAGGGAAACAAATTACTCAACACAGTGGTGTTATGAAAATTATATTCAAGCCAGGAGCATGAAACGTGCGAGAGACATCAGGGATCAATTAGAGGGTATTCTGGAGAGAGTTGGAATTGAACTAACCTGCGGTGCTAATGATTTAGAGGCTATAAAGAAATGCATTACAGCTGGATTTTTCCCTAATTCGGCTAGGTTGCATAAATTTGGTTCTTATCGGACTATAAAGTGTCGACAAACTGCCTATATACATCCAAGCTCAGGCTTGGCAGAGGAGCTCCCGAGATGGGTGGTATACCATGAACTGGTTCTTACCACCAAGGAATATATGAGAAATGTAACTGAGCTGAAACCGGAATGGTTGGTCGAAATATCCCCACATTACTACCAGATGAAGGACTTTAAAGATGCAGCATCAAAGAAAATGCCGAAGGGCCAAAGGGACGGGTGAGCAGCAGAGGAACCAGTAAAAACTTTGTTTTCTGTTTGCTGATTTTGTTAATGAAAATCCATTTTCTTTATGTTTAAACAGTGTTATTCCATCTGGACTTCTCGTCGTTAACTTTGAAGCATGCAACAATCTTAGGATGAATATTTTCAAGCGCAATCAAGTTCGTATGTTGGTTAATTTGCTGTCTTATTGTATTTGCATCTGCCTCCCTGACAGGAAATTGAAGGAACAGTTCTAGATATAATGTGTTTTGTTTAAGCAATCTTATTATTCAGACTTTTTCTCGAATGGTTTTCATGTTGGCCTATTTTGTTCAATATATTAGCTACTTGTTCAAAATTCTTATGAATTTTCTATCTGAACTTTTCAGAACTTCCTCGACTGTTACAAACTTAGGTGCTGAAGCAATTAGTGAGTTAACCATCTTTATCAGGGATGGTTAAATTGGAAGACTTGCAGAGAATACTGAGCTGTATTGGGCTAGCAGGGATGTACCTTATTACTTGCAGAATGCTTCTTACCGTTTTGTTATTAAGCATTAGATCATTTTGAGCTCTAACACGGTTGTTGTGGTTGTATCTGTTGCAGAGATAGTTGGTGATCCAGATGGGAGTGATGCAATTTTCCCCCCTTTATTATATTTAATAGTATCTGGTAATATTGATACCATAGCCGTTGGGTTCGTAGTGTCGTCTCTTCTGGGCTGTTTACTTCTGTGGATGTTTGAATTTGCTTTTGCTTGCAGGTATTTTGGGGATATAGGGAGTTGTTGGTATATGTCTGTAGCCAACTATTTTTTCTTCCTCCATCCCGAGTCGATTATGACTTTAAATGATTGTTTTACGTTTCCTTGTGAAGTATTTTCGAATGGATATATCGGTGTAAGTGTAGTGATTGTGCTTATGATCCTATACTTAAAACCTGCTACTTTTTGGGGTGAGAGCAATACGATGTGCAGTTTCATTGAAATATCAGTTTCTTGATATTGGCAGCTCTCAAAGTTATATGGCAAACTTTCTTATTGTTTCAAGGTTCAACCATCCTCCCTAAACTATGTCTGCACATACATACATGAGTATCCATCTCGAACTAATCATAATGAAGCAAAATGATATTCTTTCGATTTCTCTCAGGTCCTCTTGCCATGGTGAATGCTGAATGTGCCAAGTTATATGCTTGCTAAGATAGCTCTGGAGTCTGGAGCTATTTTTTGCATCTCGATAAGTTTTGATAGCGGAGTACGATTCTGCCATGGTGATTTCTTAATGGTCGGATGTAGCAGTTATGCTGTGATTAATTTCCTGGTTAAGGATTTAGGAAGGTCGTTTTTCTCATATTTTTATGAGATTTTTTATTGTGATTGCATACTCCTTGATTAAAGCTGAAGAGTTTTGGTTTTGTCTGTTTAAGGCCAGGCCCGGAAGGTTTACTTGTGTTCGGCTAAGGCTAATCTCGATGTTTTTGAAATGAAACAGGCAGGGATTGACTGAACGGGGTCCTGCTCTCTATAAATTTTAAATTTCTTTATATTTAGGTATTTTAAACTTGACCTTAAGATATTAGAGTTAATGATGTATAAGATAATAACAATGTGTGCATTTCTACAAAAAAAAAAACAAGATTGTTATTTAGGGATGATAGTGTGGTACGTGGTTATAACCGTAAATGAGACAAGTCGAGTTTGAGTATTGTTGAATTTGATTTGATTAAAAAAATTTAAACTTGAGTTGACTCAATTCGAAAGTTCACGAGTTTAAAATTATCAAACTCATCTCGAAAGTTTAAGAGATTACAATTTTCAAGCTCAACTCAAACTTAAAAAAATCTAAACTCAAATTATTCCCAGACCTAAATCGATTGAAGCTCACACTCAAGTTGAACTTGAACCTTAAGCATATGAAAAACTAATATTATCATTTTATTATTCGATTGTCATGAAAAATCAATGTACGATCGGTTCATCGTCCGTTCACCTCTTCACTACCACTATCCATCCTCACAATCGTCATGTCGATCTAAGTGGGTAAAACTCTATACTTGTTGGCCTGACGGAATCCAAAAGCGTCACTACCAGCACCGTCATGACACCATCATATTGATATAATTGAAGGATAATTTTATAACTTTTAATAATCATATAGTCTACAGAGTGACTTGGGGAACCATTAACATACTTTACACTTTATTAAATTGAGTATAAAATTATTTAATTAGATATACTTGGTTGATTGAATATTATATGTCCAATCTAAAATGACATATTATTTTAATTTAAATATTATTAAATTTATTAAGTAATCTTAATGATAAAAAAATATTAATTTTTTTAAAGATCTTACGTTCAAACAAGTACTTCTGCAATATTTATATATATAATTAATAAATTAAAAATATAAATAAATATTATCTAATAATCATACTGTAATATTAATAATGACACACTTAAATATATATTTTGATTTTATTTTCTATCAGACCCTTTAAGTTTCCATATAAGAGTGTTGCTTTCATACACTTTATTTTTTTTATTTATGAAAAATCTAAATGAACGTTATTAATTAGACCCAATATTTCTTTTAACTATTGGTTTAAGTTTATCCATTGTTTTAGGACAAGGCCCAATTTCATTCTTCCACTACGCGCACCTCAACGCGTCTGTTTCACACTCCAACTCCACCGTTTTGAACTTCAATAGCGCGTGGTATGGCGTTTCCCTCTCAGCGTGGTAGGTAGGTAACCTCGCATCCAGCCAGGTCACCTAACATCAGCACACCATCAATATGACGTAATAAATAGAAACCGGAAACGGAAAAAATCAGCTACTATTGTTACAGATGACACTTGTGCACACAGAGTTCCGTTGGAATGCGTGGACTATCAAAAGACCTATTTCTCCTAACAAAAACAACAACCGTCGTGGTTTACGTAGGCCGAAAATAAGACGAAATATATAGTAAGTTATTTGAGATTGATTTAGTTAAAATTTAATAAATATTTAATTTAAATATATTTTAGTTCTTAATAAATCGAAATGAACTACTTAGTATTCGATTAAAAAAACTTACTAGTAACTCAGAAATATAATATATCAAAATTTTATTTTTAAAAATTAAATTATTAATAATATTAATATTTATGTGTTGAATTAAAAAAATAGTATAAAGTTTTCGTCTATTAAAATTTAGGTTCGAGTTTGAGTTTTGAACTCTAATTGAGTTAAGTTAATTTTTTTTTATTTTGAGATTGTACGAGCTTCAACTTATGATTTTTAGTTCGAGTCAAACTTAAAAATCTTAAACTCATGTGTTTGTGAGTCGAGTCAGCTCATTAATATTCAAGTTCGACTTACTCATTTAAATCCCTATTTACCCTTAATAGAGAGAAACACCCAAGGGTAGTCCAGTAAATTCAGGTCTAATATATATGGCACGCGAAAACATGGGTTAGGACAGAAAAGGCGCCTAGCGGCGCACATTACAGTGATGTCCACAAGCCGTATTTTCATATTCTTCGTATTTTATAGGTAAAAATACTTCATAGGTCCCTACATTTTAAAAAAAGAATATCACCCTCATATTGCTTTTTTCTCAATATGTCCTTTTAACTCCGAAAATAAATTTAATATGGTCATTTGATAAACGTTTTTTGTCGTTGACCATTTCAATATTGATGTGACATTTTACGATACTGATGCAGTGGTCTACGGTGCTAACGTGTTGTCTACTGTCATGTTTGAGATACTAATTTAGCTCGTCTATCATGATATCTACTACGTTATCAACCATCGTAGATTGTCACGTCAGTACTGTGGACCGTCATGTTATCACCGTATATTATCACGTCAACAAAGTAATGTTTAACGATAAAAAATATGATCAAAAGGTTACATTAGGTTTATTTTCTAAATAGAAGGGTCACATTGAGAAAAAAATTAATAAGAGGACCACATTTACTTTTTTAAAAGTGCAGGGACCTATATATACCTCTATTTTCTAATTCCAATTTTATTAGACATCAAAGTTTCCGTGACGCGCTAGCTTATTACGAGATTGACTATCAACGGCTTCACTGGGACTCGAATCTGATCGAACTGTTCTGCTTTGGCGATTGTACCAATAACGAGCACACGGCGAGTATAGGTATTAATTCAACACTAAAAGAAACGGATAGTATTTTATAATAAAAATAAATAATACTTTATTATAACAGAAGAATAGGGTTTAATTTAAAAAAAAGGGGTAGAGGACGGAGTTCGCCGAGCCCTGAAGTATCATCGTGCATGCATTTTAATTTTCGCCAAGTACCAAACCTTTTTTCTTCTCTCTCTTTGTTTTTGTTTGGTTTGCATGCACATGAATTGTTTGCCGTCTCTCACATCGCTGATTCAACTTGTCCCTAATCGGAACTCCTCGTTTCATCTCTCTCCGTTGCTCGATTCTCTTTTGTAGTAGTTTTTTTTTTCAAATCCTCGTCATATCGAAGTCTTATAGTCGCTGATAGTACAACAAAAAGTGGCCGTCGTATCTTTTTCGTTACGATATTCAACGCTGCCGACGCGGAACCTCCGGTTATTTTCTTCTGAAGTGTTTTTTTTTCTTATGTAAATTTATTTCTGTTCTAGTTTGACCGATTTCGAATCTGTTTCTGTTTTTTCTCTTTGCTGACCGGAGATTTTCTCTGTTTCCGATTTGATATCTTTTTTTGGTTTGTTTTTAAATTGCAGGGGTTGAATTTAGAGCATGGCGTTAAAGAGTTGCATGAATGATCTGTGCGGCGCTTCCACGTCAATTGAGTGGAAAAACGGCTGGGCTTTGCGATCTGGCGGGTTTGCTAATCTATGCGATAAGTGCGGGTAATTATGAAATTAAAATCACTTAAGCCTTCTTCTGTAAGCTTAATAATTAGCTAAGCTCACCTTTCCTAGTCAATAGCCACTCAACCTAAAAGCTTTCTTGATGAGTCTTAAGACTGGAACAATTGGAACTTTATTTTATTTATGTTTTGCTGTTTGTAAGTGTATAATTTTTTTGAACTGATTGGATAGGCTTGTAATAATTTTGTATGGTGAATCGGAGTATAGTTTCCTTGAATTGCTCTTATATAAGTTCAAGAGTAACAGAAAAGTTATTGGAACGATTGAGTTTTTGTATTTATATCCTTCTTCTTCTTCTTTTATGATTAATATGGGCTAAGTACAAGGCAATATCTGTTCAAATAACCTTCTTTTAACATTGCCTGAAACTTAATTATGTCGTGGATTTCATAAAATACTTGATCACTAGGCAAGAATTCAAGCAAGGCAGAAAATTTTCCCAACTGATACCAATTTCCACTCAAGAACTCCAATTGTTCAAAAACATTTCATTTATGATTTATATTGGATGTAGGTCTGCATATGAGCAATCAGTATTCTGTGACATATTCCACTCAAACGAGTCAGGGTGGAGGGAGTGTACTTCATGTGACAAGGTGTGTGATCCCAAGTATTTAGCTTCTTGAGTTGTCATTTTCAATACTCTCTTCGGTTCCATCCAGTCGTAATAGTACTGTACTTAATCCCGATGCTTCTGGAAATGGCAGAGTCTTCACTGTGGATGTATTGCTTCCAGGTGCTTGTTTGAGCTTCTTGAGAGGAGGGGCATCATCTGTGCAAGCTGCGCTAAAAAATCAGTATTGAACCCTGTAAGATAAACTTATTTACCTTTTACTTCTTAAAAAAGATTTTAAAATTATGACTTCTGCATATTTTAGTCTCATGCCAAGTAAACAATAAAGTTGATGACTAGGGTCTATGATTACTAGACACATATCTTTTGATCGGGGTATAAGTTTACCTCTAATCCAATCTCATTTTTCTCTGTCTTAAATTGATTTAGTTTTTATCCCAACCCTGTGATGCAATCTCTCTTTTAGTTTAGAACATTTTAAGATTTTTTTTCTCTTTCCTTTATTTATATTATTTAAATAAAGTGGCTACATATATATTGCAATTTTTTATTATTATTTTAGTTTTCTTGTTAAACCTTAAAAAGAAAAGACATTCTCACTGGATAGCCTTGGAATTTAATGATTCTAAATCTAACCTTGCCTTGCATGTACAATGGCTTAGGTTTTGTGTACTCTGTGGTGAGGATAACTGAGGATAGTCATTTATGGAATGAGTGATATGAGAGGAAAAATGAATGTTAGCTGTTAAGATATTTTCCTTGGAGGTTAATATCTTTGTTATATTAGTTCTATAATTTAGTTTGTTTCTGTTGTTCATACCATTGGTAATTTCTTGCACGTATTCATAAAACCAATTAAGTGGCTTAGGATTTCCTACTAGCCGATGTTTAAATATTTACATGTAGAAGCTAAGATACTTATGATGCTTTTAAAACATATTCATACAGACAATTGAAGATGAAAAGCCTAATGGATCTGGTATAGTGAAGGGTAACGCTGGTCAATTTCACTTAATAACAGCAGACAACCAATTAAATGGCATTGGCAATGAAAACCTAAAGCTTATACAGTTGAACAACAATGCAGAAAACATTGGGCTGGAACTATTCCTTCAGCTTCACAATGATGACTCAAGTAAGTCCTTGGGGCAAATGAAACAGGAGGAAGTTTTT